GGAGTCCTCTCTCACGGAAGAGTCTAGGTGTTGCTACTGACCTAGGGAAACCCTAGGAAAAATTTTTCTACCTTTTTATCTGTTGCTTCCCTTTTCAGTCCCTTGCCCTGCCTTCTCTGTTCAACTCCCACGTCCGTCCTCCATGGCCTCCTCCTCCTCCTCGTGGGCACGGACACTCTCATCTTTGTCCTTTCCCTCGACTTTCCCTGTCCTGTTCTCATCCCTTTCATCCTTACCCCTGCTTTTTGGGTGAGTGGAGCGGAGGGGTGTATGGTGGTGGCCCTTTGTCCCGTTGTCTTGCGGGGGCGGCCCTGAGCACGCGTCTGCCGGGCCACACAGGAATGACGCAGGACAGTCTTCTGCACGCCCTTCCTTACATTAGTCAGACCGAGAGAGTAAAGAGAAGCGACCCAGTGTTGAAGTAATCAAATGTTTTTTTTTTTTTTTTTTTTTAAAGATTTTATTTATTTATTCATGAGAGAGAGAGGCAGAGCGAGAAGCAGGCTCCCAAGGAGCAGGGAGCCCGATGCGGGACTCGATCCCAGGACCCTGAGATCATGACCTGAGCCGAAGGCAGACGCTTAACCATCTGAGTCACCCAGGCGCCCCAAACGTTTGCTTTTCTTGTCCTATACTTCCAATCCCAGCCTCAACTGAAGGGGTGAAAACCAGCTAAACTCGGGATGAAAATGGCTTAAACTATTGAACTGTTTTAATACAAATTTCCACTTGATAAATCTTCTGAAACTGAACATAACATCAACCAGTGTCCAGATGAAGAAACAGGACATGATTGCAACCCCAGAAACTGCCCACCCGCCGGCCCCCACCCGGAGAGCCCACTATCGTGACATCTAATAGTGCAGATTAGTTCCCCCACCCTTTAGGGGGTGGCTGCGTAAAGGCTTTAATAAATTTCTAGTTTGGGGCACCTGGCTGGCTCATTTGGAAGAGCACGCAACTCTTGATCTCAGGGTCGCGAGTATGAGCCCCATGTTGGGCACAGAGATTACTTAAAACAAATTTCCAGTTTGAAAGTCTTGCTCCGAGGTGGGGATCACTGGTGAAGCGCCTGGAGAGCTGGGATGGAAGGCTTTAGCTGTGGCTGAGAACCACATGGTCTCCTGAGCAACGGGACACAGGGGGACCCTTCCGCATCCGTTGGGTTTCGCTCTACTGGTTTGACTTCCCAATACATGGGTGCCAGTTAACACCAGGGACTGCTGGGACTAAATATGGTTGATATTCTCGAAAACACCCACACTGGGAGGGAGGGAGTGTGTTCGTGTTTTATAGCTGAAGACACTGGCTCAGAGAGGTTCGGAAGCCCAGCGTCGCTTGACCAGTGAGACTCGAAGCTGGGGTTTGATTCCAGGCGGCCCTGAAAAGCCTCAGTGCCTTCTGCGCTCCGCCCTGTGTCCCCTGCCCAGGGAGAGCTTAAATTTCCTTCCTCCTCCTCGGGTTGTGAATTCTGCATTTCCAGATAAGAGAAAAAGGTACCTGCTGTGTTGTATCAGGAGGCCTTAGCTTTACATCTGTTCATCATGGTAAAGGGGAGCACTACTTCCCTTTCACTAAAACATCACAGAAACTGGCTCATAGATGAAGCAAGTTGATCTGGCTTGTACCATTGGAGCTCAGCTTCCGGTTGTAAAAAAAATGGTAATTTCCCCCTCCATATTTGTATCTTCAATTTCAGAATTTCAGAACTTTCTGGTGGTGAGGGCTCCAGGGGGAGAAAACTGAACCCATAATGGCAGCCCATAACTCTTACCACCGATGGGGTTCGTTTTAGAATCTGAGTTCTGCCTTCTGTTAAATTACACCTGGTGCAACTTTTTCCTTTTTTTTTGTTCCTGGGAAACTCAGACTTAAGAGCACTGAAGCACAAATGGGACAGAGGTATGTGGAGTTAGAGAAGGTGTAGTTTAGGGATATGCTCATATGACCGACGCCATCTTTGAAACTGCCACTCATAGACCACAGCATGTCCTTCTGGGTCTGGTGGAATTTGGCAGAGTCCACTGGCCCATAATGCCAATACTGGGTGACTTCATCCACTGCTGTGGTTTCAGCTGCCACCTTATCCTTAACTCCAGCCTGAATCACTCTCGAGGCTCTGGCTCCTCCAGCCCTAGACATCTCGCTTCCATTTCCCAGACACCATGTCACCTCGGTTTAGGCAGCCCTGGGCTATCGGCAGCATTTATTATCCGGGTGCCTTTGCTCAGATTGTGGCTTCTGCAGAGAAAGTCCTTTTTGCTGTAGCTGCTCTTAATTGAGATGAAGCCAAGAGCGCAAGTGGGTGGGGGGCAGGAACAAGCCAGGAGATGGAACAGAGACAGGCCAACCAGTCCAGAGGTCACTTGTGGGGGACAAAGATGGCTGGTCTTGAGGAAAGAGGACAGAAGGGAGGATTAGGTTGAACCGAACCCAGATCTTAAACTTCCAGGCTTAAATAAAAAGTCCCATTCTGTCAAGCCCAAGGGGCCTAATGGATCTCAGGGTTGAGCAGGAGACGCTTCTGGGTCTTCCACTTATTAGAAGACCTGGGCTAGTCACTTTGTTTTTTTTCCTTCAGTATATTGGAGTGACCGTCACCTACTTCACAGGATTGTAAGAATGAAAAGGCGATGATGCTGGCAAAGCTAAGCTTTCTGGAGGTTTCTGAGACTTAACAGTGGGACTTTGACAGATGGAAAGGAGGGGAGTCCGTCTTGCTCGGAGGCCCAGGTGAGGGAGAATCTTGAAACATTTGTGTCCTGAGACCAGGCAGGAGGTGGAGATGGGGCAAAAGGGGCAAGGCACACATGACCCAATCTCAAGGCCACACATTCTGAGGCACAAGACCACACTGAACGCAGGGACCCAGGAAGATTGCTCCTGTGGCAGGGGCCACGCAGTGGGTAGCCCGGAGAGGCATACGGGAAAGGGCCCAGACGCCGCAGCATGCACAGAATGAAGAGGAGACCGAGTTTGGCCTGCAGTTGTTTACAGAGATGGTTGTGGAAAATTTCGGCCAGGACAGATCTAGGGCTGACAGGTGAGTGGGGCTAACTTGGTCTCAAAGGACACTTCTGGGGAGCCGTTGGGGGACACCAAGGAGGCTGTCCGCCCTCCCGAGCACGTTAGGCTGGCTGAATTCTAAGGTGGCTACACAGCAGGATGGTGTGAAGCAGGTGTTTATCTTGTGGGCGTTTGTTATCCCCAGTGCTAAGCAGAGCAGCCGTCCTCTCAGCCGCTTACAAGGTGACAAACCAGCAAGCAGCCATGTATCATCACAGCGTGGTGCTGCGTCCCATCGCCGGCTCATCCTCCACCTCTTGCTGTCACTGGGGAACAGGGCAAAATGCCCTAATAGATGTGCAGGTGAAGAGAAAAAAAATACTTCATCCGGACTGTGGGGCATTATGTTAACAAGCAAACAGACCATAATGTTTAATTTCTCAGCTAAGTCTGACTTTTCATACAACCTATACCAGATGTTAGAAGTGACTGCTAACCAGAGATCAAGAACAAATTTGCTAAGTTTAGAGTTTTTAAAGAACCACTCCCTCCCTTTTTAAAAAGCCTAGGGGAAATCGAAAACGATTCTTTGATAACTGTGTCTGCCTAACAAGGAACTTGGGCCAGGACACAGGTGTTGTTTAGAAGGTATATGGGGACAGGGCCATCATGTCAGAACTCCCTGCTACTCTCCTGAGTAGTCCTGTTGTCTCCACTGCTTGGGGAGGGATCCAAGTTGGACAGGGTAGCCACCCATGGGCTCCCAGCTCCACAGAAACAATACAGAACCGTGGGGGAAACTGCGTTAGATGGCCAGTGCCAGCAATTTTAAATTGCAGATCCTGTAATGAACTTGTATACTGCGGTAACCTAGAACTTGTGGGGACAAGAGTGAGTGTTCATGGCTCAGCAGTTCTGCTTGTGTGTTGGGCAGGGACACGCCACCAAAGTTGATCCAAAAGACCCTGCAGTGACAGTGGCCACCTGGACCCTTCAGTCACGTAGGTGTTTCCTGAGACCGCTGTGCAGGTCAGTGCCAGGGCTGCAGAGATACGGGGGCCAAATCTAAATGACTGACCACCTACAAATCCTACCATTGCTGAGGACCAGAAAAGTGCATTTACCTGGTGATTTCAAGATCATGGGCTGTTAGCTGCACACGTACGCTGGCACCAGGCCACTTCCTGATTTCTCCACAGCACTTGCCTTGATAACACGAGCGTCGTCTGCGACTGGAGGATCCTGAGCAGCAGGGAATGTGGTCTCAAGTCTCTCTGCTGAACAGGCCTGAGATCTGAACAAGTCAGTGTCTCTGTGCCCAGACTTCCCCACCTGTAAAGGGATGCTAATAATTTTTACATTACTCCTGCTGTGCCACCTTTATGGGTTGTTACAAGGATCAAGGAAGATGGGGGAAAGTTCTTTATAAAATGAGACACTAAAAATATTTGCCATAACGTGTAGCTCATCTATCAGATGACCAATCTGATGGTCTCATCATTTTTGTTTTTGGATTTGGTTCTCGTACTAGGGTTCTGGCAGGAAACAGAATTAACTACCACTCAAGGGAGAAACTGAAGAGCTTAACTGGCAAAGTTCCTGGGCTAGCAACAGTGAGGTACAGTTACTAGGAGATCTGAAGGGACGAATGGAGAAGCTGCTGGAACCCAGAGAGTGCGCTGTTCCAACAGGGGCTGCGGCCTTGGGTGGAGGGACACAGCCACGGCCGCCCACAGCCCAGCCAGAGGGGGACCAGGGAGCTCACCGTTGTAGTCCCTGCAGGTCAGCTTCTTGGGGCGTGCACAGAGCAGGCGGGAAAGGGCACGGCGGCTCTGGAGGGCCAGGTGAAAGCTCTCTGGCAAAGCCATTAAAGCTGGTCTATCTCTATTTACCCCGCCCCCAAGATCTGAGTAGACGTTACTGCAGCTGGTTCGTTGCTGTAGCGGACAAGCATCAATCCTGATCTAAATCATTCACAGAAGCGAGGAAACATGCATGGTTCTTTCTAGTTTATTGTTTGGTAGAAAGACAGGTTCTTGAACGCTGTATAAACATCTCACAAAGTGCTTCTTGTAGATTACAAAAAGTCAAAGCCAATTTTCTTTGAGATGGGGCCCTTAAATCTGACATTCAAGTCACCGTAATAGAAACAGGAGCTGTTATACCTAACGTTCTGGAAGGCACCTCAACAAAGGCACGCTAGGACCTGTTTAAAACCTTTAGCATCTAGAAAGATCCATCTTTCCTTCCAATGCCTATGAATGGTGGTAAAAGGAGAAAGCGAGGTCTGCTATGGATGCTGAATAAGTCTTGAGAAGCCTTTTTAAAAATGACTCCAAAATCCAGCCTTCAGTCTTCATCTCTAGAGACTCAGAGAAATGACCCCCCTTCCCCCCGCGCCTTCCCGGTCTCCCCAGCTGACTTTCTCCAGCCCACGCGCACAGCTTTCCGGGACCCAGGCACTGACTGCACGAACAGCCTCACCCAATGTCCTCATTGGGCTTCTTAAGAGGGCTTTTGGTGAAAGCAGCAGCTTTAATTTAGTTACTGCCAATCTTCAGCCCTTAGAAAAGTATTTCTAGTTTAAAAAAAAAAAAAGGGAGGGGGGGCCACAGACTATTCTAAGGAATTTAACAAGGAAATAAGTACCTTTTATGAAAAGGACTTTTGAGTTCTCTGAGCTCACAACTTAACTGAAAGAACTTTACTGAAGTGTCTCCACATAAAACAGCACCTACTTCCCGGCAGCTGGATGGATGGGATCTGTGTACACAGAGCATCCATTTAAAATGCCCTCAGCGGAAACAGCAATTGTGGCAGAAGTCTGGCTGCTCCTTCCTCCCTTACGTCAAATCCACATCCCTCCAGGCTGCATCCTGTAGAATTAGGTGTAGGAGAAACAGTAAAGGTCCTGCTGGACGGCCATGAGCAGCCCTGGGGCTCCCCGGAAACCCCCAAGCCGAGAAGAGAAGGCCACACTGGGGATGTCAGCCTTGGAGGTGGGGTGTGGGGAGGGTATGGTTCTGAGCAGGCAGGCATCATGGAAGCTCCAGATTCTCGTGTAGCAGTCCTGGCCCACTAAGAAAGAGGGAAGACACATGGCAGGTTAGAACACACAGGAGCACTTGTATACATGTGGACACGGCTTCTCACGATTCCTAAGGGACTCCACTGAGCCAGAACACAAACTCAAATGGAAATTATTTCTGCTGATAATCTGTACTTCTTGAAAATCAAAGTCACAGGTCTCCCTGGTGCTCCAGAGTCACAACTAGTCGCAGGTACTCCAAGTGACAAGATGCACTGGCTGGTGTCCCCAGGCATCCTGGCGAACAGGTGGCCACTCTGCTTCTCTTATGTCAAGGGCTGCTCAAGGGAGAGCCCAGCCCCCTGGTCTAGGTGACATGCAACTGATTTCCTTTTTGTGAAAGAGTAACCAGGAAGATCTCTTCCCTTCAGTATATCCTGGGGACACACCAGGTGACCATTCTCACCAGAGCGGTTTCTGGTTTGACGGCTCAGTTTCTAAGACCAGGTGAGTCTCTGGAGCTCACAGCCGGAAGGAACGTGGCGCCGAAGCAGCCCTGGCTGCAGCAGCCCAAACAGGCTGCTGGAGATCTTCAGAGGAAAAGGGGGCAGATATCAGGGTCTCTCGGACTTCACCTCACTCCCTCAGCTGTGATGGCTCAGGCTGCCTGGCACGTCGAGGACTGCACTAGCCCACCACCCACGTCTGCCTCTCAACGGGCTCCTCTCTTTCCTGTTACCTAGAGCACAGCGGCTCTACTGAGGTGGAAACTAGGCTTAAACAGGAAGCTAAACAGCCTGAGAAAGTTCTAACAAAGTGATGCTTCTTTGGCACAAGAGAAGATTCACAGAGAATAAGTACATTCTGGAGGCGTATCTGCAAATCTGAGGACATGTCAAGACCAAGAACATATTCCTTGATGTCAAGGGCTTACTATTTCATGTGTCAAACCACTGAACTTCCATGCTATCAGAATATTCTGTTGCCCCAGAAACAGCAAAATCTGCAATCAACTTGTAGCCCTTTTCAAGGGAGTTTAGTAGCTCAACACCTCTGCTCCTATTCTGCAGATAGGGATCCCCAGGGATAGTGTTAAGGGGACCAGGAACCAGTTCCATCACAATTACCTTAATTTCTTTTCTCAACATCCAAAACTGGAAAGTGAGCACAAAGTACAGGGAGCCTAAGCTTTTAAACAGGATAGGATAAAGGTCACACTGAATGCTGACCAGGTGGACACCCAAGTCTCAATGTTTTACTGCACGTAACTTGCCTGTTACTGAGGTGATGTTCTCCCACCAATGTGAGGACAAAGGGCTGTCCCACCTGGCGGCCATTTAACTGCTCCTTACTAATGTGCTGTTCTATGTCCCGTCTAGTGTCTCCGACCAGCAGCCCACAGTCCCACGTACGAGGTTGTGATGTGGAGTAATTTCTCCCTCTGCCATTTGATAGGACAGAAAGAGCTCCCCTTCCCCAGGTTACCTGCTACCACAATTCCTTCTTCCTCATGCACGTGCAGGGGCAGGTAGGCGTACTCGTTCACATGACCTTCGTACTGCCTTATACACTTAGTGGTCCTCAGGTCCCACAACTTGATCTGTGGAAAGCACAAGGGGCCATTAGAGGGTCCAGGAGGTACACTAGTGAACCCAGGCAGGGCAAGGTGGTCTCCAAACACCTCTTAGAGTGAGGGAAGTCTAAATTTCAAAAGCACCAAAACCAGTTTCATGTCAGTCTACACCAGGCTGGGCTCCCAGGTGGAGAAAGCAACTGCCCTACACAGCCCACAGCTCGTCTCCAGCTGCCCTTCCCCCGCTACTGTCTGGCGCAGGCTCTCTCTCTCCCAAAAGATTTTAAAGTAATCTCTACACCCAACATGGGGCTCGAACTCATGACCCTCAGATCAAGAGTTACACACTCGTCCGAATAAGCCAGCCACGTGCCCCACCACGAGGGTCTTTGCTGAAGAGTCCTTCACCTGGCAGAGCTCTACACCAGCGGCTCCAGTGGCCTGAGTCATCAAGTGCTACCCCCCTACCGTTCCTGCCATGTCGGATGCCATCAGGTTTTGCTCTTCTTGGAGGATTTGCACAGAGGTCACTGCTGAGTCATGGAAAAGGCGGGTGGCCTTCCAGCCCTTGCCCTGATTTCGACAACGCAGATCTATGGCAAAGATCTCCCCAGAACGACAGCCATTAAACAGCAAAGGAGCCTATGGAAAGAGAATGAGTGGTACCACCCCCTCTAAGACTGGGAGGGGTGCGCCCTCCAGAATACAACTCCTGCCTCGCCTCCCCTCTCCCAGCCCTGGGTTAGCGGTGTGGGCGATGGTGTGGTCAGGCTTTGAGCCTCAGTATAGCTGGAGGGTAAAAGAACTGGACCCAGGTGTCTTCCAGTGTCCTCCCCACTGGCTGCATTGGCCCCTTAGGCCTCACTCTGTGAAGCTCAAGTGAAGGTGCCTTCTCTCCACCAAGATCCTTTGTGAGAAGCCAGGGGGAGGAATATGGGGTAGGAGAGATCAAAGATCCAGGTAAGGCTTGCAGTCCCAAACACGGCAGACAGCTGAAGCAGCCTGAATAACACGCCCTGTGCTTACTGCACAAAGCAGGTCGGCACACTCTCTCCTCCATGCTTAAAGAAAGATGGCATTTTCAGTGAGCAAGTCTCTGAAATGTATTGTCTAAAAGTAGGATTTTTAAACTTATAAATTACATAACTTGAAAACTGTATGAACCTAATAAGTATGATGAATTGGGACTTAATTTATACATTAAAAAAATTACTTGTCCTGCTGGCTAATCCAAGTACTCAAGAACTGCTAACAATTCATTTAAATAGGAAGCTGTTTAAAGCCAGTTTAGCCAGACCTTTCTGAATCAGCCAACTTTCATCCAGTGCAAATATAATCACCAAGTAACCCGCTAATCCTTTCTGATGCCCTCTTTTTTTCCCCCTGAAAAAGCGAGACGGCCAGATGCCACACAGAGGGATCCAGTTTCAATCCAGCAAAACTTCCACCCTTGGGAAACTTTACATTGCTCTCCTCCCCTAATCCAACCAACCATGAGAGCAAACTGCTGGGCCAAGACATCACTGCTGGTCCCAAAGGACTGCCGGTGTCCCGTCACCACGTTGGTCACTAGGACCCGCCGAGACAAGCCTGACAGAGACAGAGGGGGCAGAAAGAGAAGCATCACTCAGTCTGGAGAAGGGGTCCGAAGCCTGTGAACATCTTTCCTCTGGGGACCCGTCGGGGCAGCCGCGGCTCACCTGTGCTGAAGGAGTTATTCGCCTGAATGTTGAGGGACCACGCACAGGACCAGGCCCCAGGGATCCGGAAACTGCAGAGCATGCCAGGCCGGTCTCCTGCTGAGGGCAACAGTGAATATAAAAGGTGGCTGCTCTCGAGGGACCTTCCCTCCGTGCTGCCTGCCAGGCCAGTGACCGCCCGATCTCGGAGACCTCCAGGAATGGTTGCTCAGAGATCTATACCTTGGCCTTTCTGGCTTTTATGGTAGCAAAAAAGACACTCAGCTAGGGTACCTGGCTCAAAAGGGGCTATTCTGAGAGGGAGCACATGAATCTTTCCTGACTTCGCAGTAGTGTTAGAACTAACTGCCGTCAGGGAGGCAGTGTGGCATCTTGACAAGAGGGTTCCAATCCCACATCATACTATTTGATGGGTGATCTCAAGCAAAACATTTTTAAAATAAGCCTTTTAACTAAGAATCCATAAAGGGCACACACCCCAAATAGAGAGTGCAACGAGTGATCACAAAGTAAATGTAGCCACATGGCCGTCACTCAGGTTAAGAAGCAAAACATTCCAGAACCCTGATACCCCTCCCCGTTACGACCTCCCCACTGTTCCTGAGAGGGAACCACTGTCCTGGTCAGTTTTGTAAGGCAGGCTCTGAACCTCTCTTCGCCTCAGCTTCCTCATCTGTAGAAGCGGTGGTTAACACACACTCCTGCCACACAGGCCTGCCACATGATGAAATGTCAGGCACCAGGCTGAGTCTGCATCACCTCATTTAATCCCCCCGTAACCCGACGGGGTGGGTGTTCTCTTCACAGAAGGTAAGCAACCTGATCACGTTGGTAAGGGGCAGAGCCGGGATTCATGCCAGGTCTGCCTGAAGGCCTGCACTCTTAGAGCCTTGAGTCTTGTCTAATGAGTCCTAAGTCTCTGAAAGACTGAAAACTTAATACCCAGAGTGCCACCTGGAAGGAGAAGTCCAGCTGCCTTCAGGCACACAGATCGCAAGCAACGCCAGCAGCAGGTGCCAGGCTTTTCTGCACCATCTCTACGGGCAGCCCAAATAAATACTTTAATCTCGCACTTTTAACTGTTCTGGCTGCTGAAATGACCCCAAAGGAGGGGTATGTAAGGACGTGCGCACTTGCAGTCCGAATCCTGGGTCAGGTTGCAGGAATTCTCCGACAAGTGCTTTCGCAGGCTGACTCGGGCTCACGCAGCGTGTGCTTCCCACCCCTCCTGTCCAAGCCTTGGCCACGGAGTTTACACCATCGTGGGCTGCAGCTCCTGGAGGCAGGGACCGAGACCTCCCTCAGAGCACCTCCTCCTCCGAAGGGAAAGGACCTGGTACCTGGATGACTACTGACGAACAGCGACGCTGGGAGCAGGGTGGCACAGCCCGGAGTCTCTGCGATGCCCATGAGGCAGAGCCTGCAAAAGCTGTTAAGGACAGTCAAGTACAAGGGTCTCTTCTGGGAAGAGAATGGGCATTAGTACCCTTCAAGAAACTGTAACACCACGAGCCAGATTTAACACGTTCCCATATTCCATATTTAGTTTCAGATTTATTATTTATTTATTTATATATTTTTAAAGATTCTTATTTATTTGACAGCAAGAGAAGGAACACAAGCAGGGGGAGTGGGAGAGGGAGAAGCAGGCTCCCCACTGAGGAGGGAGCCCGATGTGGGGCTTGATCCCAGGACCCTGGGATCATGACCTGAGCCGAAGGCAGATGCTTAACGACTAAGCCACCCAGGCGCCCACAGTTTCAGATATTTTAAAAGGAAAGAAAATGTCACACAGTTGAAAGCCTCTCTGACCCCTGCCCAGTCCAATTCTTCCTTCTCCTCTACCCAGAATCACATTCTAAAACTGCTCTGAGTTCTGCGCCGTGCTCTATTCTTTCCACAGAGCATCTTTTACAACTCTCCATCTCCACTGTCTTCTAGATTCATCTAGGTTGATTTTGTAGCTCCAATCTCTTCACTTTCACAGTGGAGCATGCCTTTGTATGAATATACAACTCATCTGTCTCGTCTCCCGCTGATGGGCACTTCCGTGGTTTTGGGTTGTTTTGCTCTGCTGCTGGAATGAGCATCCCCTCCTGTTTTCCTGTCTCATACGTCATGTGTGGGAGGCTGCTTCAAGGCAGTGTTTTCTTGAACCCACGGTACAAGTTTCATTTTGCTACCAAGCTCTACATACACACAAAGAACTGAAACAAAAGTTTCATAAAGTATCTGCTCTTACTAAATATGGGACTCATTATTTTCTAGTCGGCTTCATTAAAAAAATGCCGCTCACAAATGGACGTAATGGCCCACAGAGGGAGGTCATGCCGTGCAGTCTGGAAACAGCCTGATCTGTGCTCATCTGAACGGGCATAATAACTGACACGTCATCATTTTAACTTCAGTTTCCCAACTACAACCGGGTGTGCTGATGCATCGGATCACAGTTGCTTGGGTTTCCTCTTCTTTGAACCTCCTGTCTGTGCCTTACCCATGTGTCTGCTGGGCTGTCTTCCAAGTGATTTGCGTCCTCTCCCTTCACAGCCAAACTTCTCTCAGAGGAGTCTGTGTTTCTCCCACTCCCTTGTCTTCCTTTCACTCTTCAGCCCACTGAAACCCAGTCATCGTCCAGTTAAATATCCTCCCCGAGGTCTCCAAGGGACTCTATTTCTCACACTGATCAACACTTTCCAGCCTTGCCTGTGGCCACGCAGCACTGTTTCCAAAGACACGCTCGGTGATGGACTCCAGAACCCCCTCTGGGAGGTCCCCTTGGACCTTCTATCACCTACACTGCCTGGCCTAGATCCTGAGCTGCTTTGACTCGTGCCTCTCCTCCACCCCTGGCTCATCCACCACACCCTCTCCCCTGCCTGCAGTCTTACAGCAACCGCCCCCCCCTCCCGCCCCGGTCTGAGGTCTCACCCTTGCCAGCTTCTCATAAGATACGCCTCCAGGGCCACAGTCCTCCAGAACATCCCAGCACCAGGTGCCCCACCTTGCCAGAGACCTTACGGATACTACTAGACCACTTCCCGCTGCCCCAGGTGCCACACTCCCTCCTGCCGCTTCCTTCTGCTGGGAGCTCCGTCCCCTCCTTCCCATGCGGGAATCACCTCCAGGAAGGCCACCCCGATCCCTCCATCCCGCCAGCATCCTGCTGCCCCTCGGACATCACGGCAGAGACCGAGCGCCTGCCGTGCTGCCCACTCTAGCACTCACAGGGATGCGTCTGCCCGACGGCCTCTGGTGGAGCGGACGCGCACAGCCCTCACTGAAAACTGTAAATGTCTGCAAAGTTTTCAGGCAACATTCCTGGTCGTCTGAACGTGTGACGTGTGCATGTCACGCTGCCTTGGATGGCAGGCCCCGTGTTAAGTATCTCTAGTTAGAGAGACTGCCGAAGCTATAAACGATAACCCTGCAGCTGGGCAGCCCAAGTCCTTCCTAAAGAAACCTCTTTTGCTTCTGGGTTTGGAGGGTGAGGATGTGGGGAGGAGTCCCTACCCAGGTGCACTTTTAATTACTAGGACTAAGATCCAAACTACCCTTACACTTCGTGTGATGCTAATGGGGCCATATCAGTTGGTCCTTTCAGAGGCCACAGGGGTCGAAGAGCCCAGGAAGGGCAGCCTCGGCCTAACCTCTCCCCATTTTGTGGGGGGAACTGCAGAGGACCGGGCTCAACAAGGTGCCATTTTGGTAAAGGGAGAAAGTTCCATGACCTTCAGCAGAAGCAGCAGGTGCACAGAAGCCTGAAGATTACCGAAGTGACCACCAGAGGGCAAGCGGCTGAAGAAGCTACCACAGACCACGCTCTGTAAACCCAATTATACGGATTTTTATTCTCTCCTTAGCGTAAGGAGAGAAACCTGGGAAAATGTCATCCTGTTTTAAGATCAGAAATGAAAGCAAGGTTCTTGTTTTCTCTCCTTTAAGATCTGGTCTCTTCTGTCCTCTGGTAAGATCATCACAGTAACAGGTGGTCCTATCCCCCCCACAGAATCCCATCAAATGAAAGCCACATAAAATTTTCAATTTACAGGCCACACAGTTTTGTGTTGGTCTTACGTAAAATGATAACCAGATCTCTAATGTACTTTAGGCTTTTAAAAATAGAGTGCTGTGGAACAAATTCAAAAAACCCCAACTGGTTCCGATTCAGCCATCATGTGCGGAGAACCCATCATGTGCCAAGCACTGTGCTAAGTGCATTCACAGATGTTAAATAATGTTAGCCCCGGAACAACTCCCGAAGTAGGTGCTAGGTACAGTGAGTGGTCAGAGTTTTAAGAACTCATTTATTATGAAAATGAACCATGGACAAGACTCATGCACATGTGGCTTTGGCTCAAACCGTATTACTCCCAGAAGCACAGGACAGACCGTTGTCTTGTCCATCATCAACAGCCCCCAGGGATTCCAGAGGAAGGGTCCAGACAGACTGACGCTGTACTCCTGTGCTTTTAGCAAAAGAGCCCTGATTGTTCACTGAGACGGCAGAGACTAGAATGAAGAGAGCTCTAAAGGCGGCTGTCTCTGGGGGCGCCTGGGGGGCTCAGTCAGTTAAGCGTCTGTCTTCGACTCAGGTCATGATCCTGGGGTCCTGGGATCGAGCCCCGCATTGGGCTCCCTGATCAGCCAGGAGTCTGCTTCTCCTTCTGCCTCTGTCCCCCCACCCCCTGCTCATGCCCTCCTCTCTCTCTCAAATAAATACATAAAATAAAAAAAAAAAAAGAAAGTAAGTAAGAAAGAAAGAAGGCTGTCTCTGACAGGGACCCTAGGCACAGAGCCCACACACTCATGTCCAACGCCGAAGGATTCCCCTCTCCCCTTTACTGATGTCCACCCTCAGTCTCCCCCCACAAGAGGCCCGGCCCACCCTCAAACCACTGTAGCTCTGAGCTCCTCCTCCTTCACCTCAGGAGGATGTGGGGTTCCTGCCTAAGGCTTTACCGTTCCTAAGTGTCCGGCACACAGTGACATCAGTGTCACCGTGGGAACTCCGCTAGTGCTCCATGGCAATCCTCGTTCTCTACCGAGCTGCACTATTCTTTCCTAAAGGGTGAGATGTGCATACAAAATGGGGCAGACCTCTGGCCACTAAGATGCCATCTCACAAAGCCCACAGATGCCCAGCTCCACACCAGGGCATGGCCTGCCCACCAAACCTCTTCATCTGCCAAAAGATACAGAATGTGGGAGTCCAGGTGATTCAGCGAGGCCCAGCACACAGAGTTTACCTGGTGAGGAAGCACACAGCAAGACTGGTTTGCCCACTTGCGGAGAGAAACAGACAAATGCTTTCCTATGGAATAACTAATGCGGATGTAGACACGGGACTTCTTTCTTCAGGTCTCACTCCTTTTAAAGGGGCTGGAACAAGCTCCAGAACAGGCAAGTCTCCCCTGCTCCACCATGTAGGGCCTTGAGAGGAACAGGGAGGCAGTAACCCCCAGACTTTGGTCCTCTGTCATTAGCATGGACCTCGCAGTGAGGCCTCTGGTATACTCTGGTTTGGGGATGGAGTCTCTGCAACAGCAGGGGACAAACCTAACTCTGAAAGGCATACTGTATTCTCACTTCAACCAGAAACCATTTTCAACCTGTATCCATCTTGTGGCTCAGGTCCCAAATGAACAGAATGTCACTGCTTCTTACACATGCAGTCATCACCCCCGTGGAATTTAAAGGTTGCTCCCTAGACAGCAAGCTGTGCTGTATTATATTTATTTAACCTCTGTGTAGGTCACAGACTGGCTGAGTGACTGATGCACCAGAGGACTCCCCACTCAGCTACCTCAGCCCCCAGCCCAGGAACTCTGTGCTTGGCAAGGGCTCCTTTGGGTCACTTCAATCCTCCTGGAGGGAAGGTCTGTCCAACCAGTTAAAGAAGCCTTTCAAGCATTAAGAAGTTTCACGCCTTCTCCCAACTATCGACAGTTATTTCTCTTCCAAGAAAAGAAACTTCTGAGGCCGTTTTCTTCCCCTACGGGTTCTCAAGAGCTACGACTCCATTTTCCCTGGGGAAAATAGGTACTCAAGCTCCACCTTCTTCACAAAGTTCTCTCCTCTCCTCTGAATTGGGCCAACTACAGCAGGGCCCTTGGATCCAAAGTGCAAAGGGGGCTGCAAGGCTAATTAATGGGAAAGGCAACGTACCTTCCGGTTGGTGAAGTAAAGGTTTTCGTGCATATGCACCTTGAGTGAGGGGGCCTTCAGACCTCGTAGGCTGATGATGCCATACTTGGAGCCTCCGACTTTGACATCATTCACTGTGAAGAGCCGGTCACTGTTGGTATCTGCCTGGAGGGAAAAGAGACTACAGGTCACCTCCCTGGCTGAGCCAGGCGAGCTGAGCTGCCCAAGACCATCTGCCCATCTCTCTAGGATCCCATGCTCTGTGCATTTTCATGTGAGTGCGCCTACCCACGAGGGAGCGTGGAGCATGGAGGTCATCTAACTTGCCCCTACTCAGCCCAGCTGTCACCCGGCAAGGCTGACAGCTATGTGGTCTCATAAGCAGGAGCAGGGCTAAGGGCAGTGAGGGAGCGCCGTCAGGAAGTCTGAGGTCTGTATAGTGACTCCACTCAGCATTGGGTTTGGAAGAGTCCCAATGTCCACCCAGGTGAACTGTTTAGATGGGCCATGTGGTGACATGTAGCCATTATGAAAGCCACACACAATGTGGAAAATGCTAGTTGTATCCCTGTGAAGGGGTAAAAGGAGGATACAAAATTGGATTCCCATTACACAAGCACTTTTCTCCCCACCAAGTAAAAAAAAAAAAAAAAAAAAAAAAGCAAGCCCACTGCACTGAAAAAAAATTACAATAGAAAAGACTGCATTGGGATCTGAGTTTTTTTTCCACTTAAAAAATGTGATTACTAATTACTTCACAACAAAATGTGTTTTACATATATTTATATACACATACATGGGTTTGGATGCTGGTGAAAATGTATTCACTTTCCAAGTTTATTCAGAAAGCACGCTTCCTGAGCGCCTGGGTGGCTCAGCTGGTTAAGCGACTGCCTTCGGCTCAGGTCATGATCCTGGAGTCCCTGGATCGAGTCCCGCATCAGGCTCCCTGCTCGGCAGGGAGCCTGCTTCTGCCTCTGACCCTCCCCCCTTTCATGTGCTCTCTCTCTCTCATTCTCTCTGTCTCAAATAAATAAATAAAATCTTTAAAAAAAAAAAAAAAAGAAAGCACGCTTCCTGAAGAATCATTACAGTGACTAGAATCAGATTGGAAAAACTGATCTCTGGGTGGCAAAGCACCCTTCCCAAAACTCCAGTCCACACAGCCAGCCAATCAGCTCTAACTCCGGGTGACTGGGAAGGTCTCTGAGCCAGTGCAAGGCCTGTGTGAGGTGAAGCACGAAGACTGGGGGCTCGGGCCATACTAAGCAGCACGTGCATCCCTACCTAGTTTTACCGAGGAACCCGAGGGAAGGGGCTCCTGAGGAGAATGAACCGCAAGAAAATATTCTACTGATTCAGGTCAAATCGTACCCCCAGACGATTAAAGTAAAGCCACAGGAGAGAATGTGAGTCCTGGAATACCCCTTACGTAAGGGTTCTCCTGTTGAGGTCTCCTGGGGCAAGACCTCAAGGGTCAGCTCTGTGGCTTCAGATTCCAGTCCTGTCCAGCAGGATCCAATCTGGATCCTTCTCCCATTCTCCTTAGCCTTTCCCCGGCCTCCAGGAAGGACAGGGCTTGCAGGGCAGGCCATGCTCTCCTGTAACCTCGAGCTTCTAGTCTAACTCGGCGGACCATGAGGTCCTCTGCCAACATTTCTCTGAACTCTGGGTTCAAGCACTTGGCTCTGGCTTTAGCCTTGGCTTCCAGCCCAGGTCTAACCTAACGAAGAGAAGACTCTCTGCTCCCTGTAAACGATATGATAAAGGTGTGCCAGATGTGCAGGCCCAGGAGTCCAGGCCTGTGGGCCCCTGCTGCTCAGGTCAGAGCCAGCGAACAAGGGAGTAACACATGGTTGCTACTGAAGGACACTGGAGCTTCAGGTGTGGCCACCACATAATGCCCCAGTATAGGAAGGATTAGAAGCCCCTAGTCCACTGCATATCTTTTAGTCTGTAACCAACACACCCAAGGGAAAATTACTTTGTGACAGTTCTCAGTCAATGTGTGGTGGGCCCAGGCTCTCAGACTGAATGACAGAGCTATAGTGCGGGTGAGCATTGTCAGCAGGCCCGCCCTGCCAGCTCAGCACCTGCTAGCGGGTAGCCAGCAGGCACACGTTAGAACCGTAAAACCACGGGGACACTGCCTGCTTTCATGGCACTGGCTTCCACATAACTAGGCCTGATGAAAGCCAAGGTTAAGCCACGCAGTGTCAGGGGATAAAAGCTATACCTCTGGCACCCACAGGGAGCTCCCTCCCACTCACCAGTATGAGGTTAAATCGGTCGCTTGCCAAAGCGGAGGGATCCGAGCTCTGAATCTGGACCTTTTTCCTCTGCATGCAGCTCACTCGCAGCTCATGAGCTAAACTGCAGAGGGAAAGAGGGGCGGGGAGGGCATGGACACTGTGCCTAGACACCCATGAAGCAGACTCCGAGGCTCTGCCCTGGCCCACACCCTGGAGACCACCTCCCCTAGTCAGCCGACTCTCCTCCCGAGTAATTCTCAGCAAGGGAGCTGAGCGGGATCCCAAATCATCTCAGTTATAGAACTCTTAGGAAAACTAAGGCCAAGAAATGGGTGGACCATCCACAGGGTCAAAGAAAGTTAGAACTAGACAAATTTGGTTTTGGATCATCTAGTACAACTCTTTCCCGAGATGAAAAGAATGTGCCTGAGAAATGAAACAGCATGCCGAAGAAGAGGGCCCAATTAGTAAGAACCAGGTATGGAGACCCTTCCCTCTCCATATCACGGCCACCACCCCACTAAGAACAAAGCAGGTTTTAAGGTGAAGAGAGATCTACCTAGACCTTAACTCTTTTCCTTCTGAAGAGGGGGATACAGGAGAGAACTGCCCTACCTACTCTGGCGGGTAACCCTTGCGTGGCCCACCCTTTCTAGCTTTACCTTGAGCCAATCGCTCTATTCTGAGCCTCAGTCTCTTCTGAAAACTGGGGGAAGTACCAATCTAGCTCACAGGGTTTTAGTTGGAGTATCAGTCATCACAAGTATATGAAGTTTAGTACACATACATCCCTTTAATGCTCTCTTTTGGGTGACAACTGATTGGAAGGGGAGGAGGCAGAAATCTCATGGTAATGAAGTTATAGGACCTTCATTACACTGACAATGATTTCGAGTAACACAGAGAAAATGTCTTGAGAAATTTCTGCTGAGTTTCTCTGCCTAGATCCCTTCTCCCTCTGTGGCCTCCTGCAGGAGACTCTCCCCTTGCTCTAAAGGGAAATGATTTTCTCAGGGCTGGTTTTAGCAGAAGGCAGGCTATGCTCCTCCCCCCTCCCCCCTGCCCCCAACTGTGAGGACTCCTCAGAGTGGTTATGTGCTCTAGCCTGACTGGCTTCTTGGACCATGGAAATAAGAAACAGGAAAAGAACATTCATGAAAAAAGCTTAACGAGGCTTTGTCTTACCGGCAGTAACTGGTGACATTGAGAAAACCCAGCTTGCTTTTCTGTAGCAATGAAGATGCATTAAAGCCCATTCTGGCTATTTTCTAAATAAAACCAAAAAGATTCAATGAAGTTTTAGGTTATGGGATAATGGAGAATGTTTCTAGTTTCATAGGATCTAATGAAGAAGCAGGTGTACTAAGTTGGCAGAAATTATATGCATAGAGATCTGAGGGTCTCCTCTCCTTGGCAAGAGGAAAAGTCCATCACAAGAAAGCACATGTGAGCTGGAAAGTTGGCCTGGTGCCCATGTCTAAGCTCCCCATCAATTCACCTGGGGAGCCAGGTGAAGAGATGAAGCCACCCCACTAGTGAGCACAAGAACCGTACTGGTCACTCGGGTCTTCACCAGGCTTTTCGTTTGACCAGGGGTGACCACGGAGCCCCCATAAAACCACTGAAAGGTCCTGGCATTTAATCCCCAGAAGGGATGCAAGAAATCCTCATATCCACACACCTTGGTTTTCTATTTAAGGTATACAGTTACTGAAACTGTATCATACCAATTCCCAAGATTCCTCTGGGGAAGGACAAGATGTGAGTATCACTGATGAAACTTCGCAGGTAGGGCGCCTGGGTGGCTCAGTTGGTTGGGCAACTGCCTTCGGCTCAGGTCATGATCCTGGAGTCCCGGGATCGAGTCCCGCATCGGGCTCCCTGCTCGGC